ATATGATGAGAAGTCATTTTCTAAAAACCAAGTACAATGGAAAGTGATAGAACAACAAATAAACCTTATATTACGTATTTAATTTTCGCTTTTGTTGAAATTCAAAGTCAGAGAGTGCAGTTTGCCTTTATTTTGTAGGTATAAATATCGTTCGTATGACTGAAAACGTGCCTTTTTTTAGTAAAAAGACTTTTCTTTTCTTTTCAGTTTATTGTAGCTGTTATTGCAGCAGTTAACTTGACGACATGAATAAGTCATAGGTCATTGTACATAACAAGGCCTATCAGTCTTTGTGATGGATAATAGTATATAAGAGAGAAAACATCGACTAAATTTCCTATCATAAAAACCTTTTTCAGCAGTATCTGCAGAAACGGTAGAGAAAGTAGTTACAGCAGAAGACATAGTAATACTTTCAATTGAAGGAGACATTTTTAATATGAGTTAGAAAAACATCTCTCCTGTTTACACCAAAAATATCAGTAGAAATCAGTTATTAAAAAAGAAACTTATGATAATATCCTTAAAGCATTATTACCCGAAAAAGGTGGGAAAGATAAAACGCTAGTTGAAGTGAACTCCCATTATTTCTGAATACCAAGGTTTGCTGTGGAAATATTTTTAAAACTTTGTATTGCCTGTCAGGTGCGTAAACCAGTTAAACAGCCCGTTGTATCAAAGCCCATTATATCATTGGGTGTAATGACAAGACTTCAAATAGACTTGATTGACATGCGTACACGTCCAGATGCAATTTCAAGTGATGCTGTTTTCCAGTATATTCTGAATTGTATCGATCATTTTTCAAAGTTTGCTTGGACATTTGCTTTAAAAAATAAATCAACCGTTGAAGTGGCAAAATGTATCCGAGGTTTGTTTTATGTTTTCGTCCGCCACGTCTTCTCATTCTGATAACAGTGGAGACTTTGTTGCGAATGTGATTGTTGAACTAAAAGTTTTGTTTCCATTAATGTGTTTCGTTTGCGGCAGGCCACGTCATCCGCAGCCACAAGGTTGTGTCGAAAGACCAAATGGTATATTGACAAGTGTGTTAGGAAAATGGATGTCTGATGAGAATTCGAGTCATTGGTCTTTGTCTGTTGTATATGGAATTAATACTCGGATGTCATCAACTACAAAGTTTAGACCGTATGAAGTAATGTTAGGTCAAAGACCACGATCTGATCAAGAGTTTTGAAGAATCGTTAAAGACAACGACATACAGGATGAAGAACAACTGCCAACGCCTATTGAAGATAGTCTTGATCAGACGAATGTTGGAGATAGCAACACAAATTCATCAGCTATTATCGAAAACGTGCCTTATGCTTTATATCCAGATGATCCACAATTAGATGATACTACTTCTGTTGCTGCATGTCTTTTAGGTCTTTCATCTACCTATGTTTGCACTGCTCCTGTTCTTAAACCTTCATTTTTCATTGATAATCTCATTTCTTTTGATTCTCCACCTTCAAAAAATGTTTCACATGTTTTGTTGGTACTACCTCGTGTAATAGTTTTAGATAATTTTGTTCGTGGTTTTTTGCTATCCACACATTTCTTTCTAAATTGTCAACTATGGGATGAAGTGATCGAACCGCATCTTCGAGTGACATTAATTTCATATGTTGATAGCCTTCAATGGGTAATAAGAGTTTATGAGGCTCTTCGCCAAGATCAGTGAATCTTGAATTGGAAGTGGATTTGTTTGCCATTGGGATAAAAAGTTTTGATTTGAAAATGTTCACGTTTTGGCGGAATGTGGGTATTATGAGAGAGAAGAGTTTGAAGAATGTTTTGTTTTGTTGTGATTTCGTTTTTCTCCACTTGCATTTCGAATAACTGCTGTAAGATTAGAAACATTCTGAGTGAGACTTGTGTAAATATTAGACATCTAGTATTCGAACTTCGATATACACATACGTCTGAGATACACCTCTGTTGACATTTGCTTCACATTTGTCACATTGTCTTTCTCTACAGAAAGGGAGGAAAGTTATGTTCTTGCATTTTGTACTTCTATTAAAGAAATGGCGAAAGAGAAAGAAAACTAGATGCCAACTGCGCTCCGCGAAGATTGGAAGCCGACTGAGTGAAACACGAATGAAACCAGCTAGCTTCTAGCTATGGTAGTACAGCGGATGTAACACTTAGTAAACTGCTATATATATGGTTTCAGCTACATCTATGTTCTACAGCATATTGTTCACATTATCGTATCAGCTGATTCATTATCTTATCATACATTCTCCTATAGCTTGCATCATATCAAGCACTATAGTATATATTCACTACGAAGGATATCACGTGACCATTAATTATCTGATACGAGAAACGATAGTTTTCTGAAAAATATATTCATTTTGTGATACTAATTATATTAACCACCCGGCCAAAGTCAATAGCTTACACGTTTTGTGGCACTGATCGAGTAGTGTGTAGGATAATAAGATCTCGAAGAACTGACGTACATTATGTTGATGGCACTCGCCATCGAATCAACAGATCATGTATGTATCTTTTAAATTTACCTTTCTACATAGTAGAATAGATCTTTTAAGGTTGCTCAGAAGGTTTTTTCATAGTTGTTTTGATAGATAGTATCTATATTTGCAGCCTATATTTGCATTTCTGCATAGGTCGTAAACAACGTCTATAGTATAGTGAGAAATTGCGTTCACATTGTTTTGGATCTATTACTGTTGTTTCATGAGCCTGGCGTTTAATATTCTAATGTTCTTTAAATTGGGATGTTTTGGAATTGGGAAGTGTTTCAAGCTGTACATAATGAATATCGCCACGAACATCCTTTATGGAATGGCATCAGTCTATGTGCAGCTTATTTAGCTAATATTCGTACTAATTTGTTCCTTGATACTGGAAATCAAACATCGTTCTTTTTTATTCGATATAATTATGTTTATAAGAACAGACTTTTTGAATAGTGAAAATGAAAATAAAAAAATTAAAGGCTTATGTACAAGAACAACTATTCGATTACAACTATTTGATGAATTGTACTTAACTGAAACCAATTAAGCAATTAATTAATTAATTATTGCTAGTCCGGACTGGACGATTTTTTTGAAGGACTCAGAGTTGAACTTGATTTTTTGTATTTCGAGTCCGATCTATTCAACTTTTAACACAAATGAGCAGAGAAAAATGAAAAACGAAGTAACAACACCTTCTGTTTCACAAGAAATTGAAAATTTTGTTCGGGAGACGGACATGGAAAATAACCTTACTTTAGAAAAATTAAATAACTATCCAGGGCTCAGCAAATTAAAAAATAAACCACGCTTATCAAAAAAGAACCTAAAAGATTACCGGACTCGAAGTGGACTTAGGACTCGGACTCGGTTTGAACTTTTGGGGACTCGGTACCCCCTCGCACTCGCCCATGCCTGATTGAAACAGTGGCAGACGACAAACAGTTTCTAGCTGGTATTGATCTGTTTGAATTCATCAAATCCAAACAGCTTCACACTTGTAGACTACCCTACCATCCGTTTTCATATATAGCAATATTTTCTTATAGATTAAAATAAAAAATGAAAAAAGTCATATCTTCACTGAAAAAAAGTGCGACTTAGGATCAAATCCAGTATCTTATTTCACAGAATAAGTCGCATTAATGCGACTTAATTTAATCCGAAGTCTTTCGCTTCTAACGTGTCAAAGCCTTTAATACAAAAATCAACATGAATCACTTTAGTGTCACTATCACAATTTTTTATATGCAACTGTATTCTCTTGAACAACTTATATTAGAAAGAATGCATATTGATTTGGATTTTTCATAAAGCAATGTTTTGACATGTATGAACAATGGAACAAGAACAACTGGTTTTTTCCCATAATGCAAACAACGCATGTGCTCAAAAGAAAGCATATAAAAAAAACGTTTATATAATGAAAGATTGATAAGAAAACAGAACAGATCAAAGAAAAAGAGAAAACATTGTCACAAACTTCGCTGTATAGAAGCACTGGTCCTTATTAGAACAAAAAATGATGCTTTGACTTTTATCACTTATTTCAGAGCCATCGATCGACAACTTACCAAATCCTTTATTATTTTTCGGTTGAGACTAGCCTCCTGAGTTGAATGACAGAAGAGTTTTTCAGTGTGAACTAAAACGGTTGAGTTATGACCGAGAATATAAATGCGAGTAAAACGGATCTAATTCGGCATTTGTTTGTCAATTAGAATAACTACCAAAATATTGGTTCTTATTAGAATACCCTCACATCAAGACGTGAAAAACGCGGGACATTTAGTGCTCAGACATTCACCATAGTCGGACAACAGAATCAAAGTATACTTCTGAGATAAAATATACTAAGGAAAGTCAGGGCTATAGCATATTTATATCTATACTATCGGATAAAAAACTATTCTTTTACAGTCGATTTAGACTGTTTTAAGACCTAAACGGTGCGTGTGGGATCAACAATAAGTAGATTTATCGAAAAATAACAAATGCAGGAGTTTCTGATAGAATATGCATCGCTTTAATATTTTTCAACCTTATATCAATAAAGCAACGTAGAGCCAGCCGCTTTAAGGATGTTTTGAATTCTCAGAGAGCGTCTACGTACTAGAAGTACGCGAAGTAGTCCCATCTTGTCTCATAAGCATAGAACCGTACTTAGAAGGTGTCTCTTTTTATGATGATTGTGTCGCCCTTTTATTCTCATATTTTTATTCTTGTCCTTTTTGTTATTCCTTTTTCTACTCACTCAAGATGACAGGTTTTAGATTATAAGGTTGGACTTTTTCTGGTTTCATGTTCAACAATGCTTTGTTTGATTTTTGTTGGTAAAATAAATAAAAAAGTTCGAAGTCTCAACTGGACGAGACAAGGTAAGTGTGGGTTTTTAAAACTATGTACACTAGCACTTCATTGAGTATTCTTTCTTTAACCGAGAAATTTTACGGTACGGAATAGACTTCAGTAAACTTTTGAAGAGACAAAATTTTTACAGAACAAGCTGGAATGGAAGGTCAAATAAACTGTCTCGCACACCTCTACTGCACTTTTACGATAACTTATAATCAAGTGCAACATAAAATAAAAGTTTATCAGAAAACTTCTTTCTCAAGGATGTAATGCTATATCCCTCTTAATGAAATTAGAAGGATGTGGAGCAGCAAAGAATTAAAGAAACTCTTTCATATACTTCTATCTCTAAAACAATTTTCTATGCATCCGTCATTATTCTTCTTTCGTGATCTTACAGCCCAGAGCAAAAAATTGACAAAAAACGCGTTGACAAAAACGCTTTCAACAATGCGTTTTACAACAAAGTAACTTGTTTCTTTTCGATTTTGTCGTTATGGAACGCGTTTAAAACCGTGTCGTTAAAATATATATTGAAATAAAATAAGCACATCTGAACAGCAATTTTAACGATCGTTTCCTCATGCTCGTTAGATAAAAACTCGTTTTTATGCCTTTTCGAACAATTCTTTTGTCTGAGATAAGAATCAAAATTTCGCTTTTCTCGCATTTATGTGAGAACATTCTAATAAGAACCAATATTTCGCTAGTCGTTCTAATTCGCAAACAAATGCCGAATTAGATCTGTCTTACTTGCATTTATATTCTCGGTCATAGCTCAATCATTTTAGTTCATACTGAAAAACTCTTCTGTGATTCAATTCGGGAGACTAGCCTCGACCGAAAAATAATAAAGGGTTTGGTAAATTGTCGATCGATGGCTCTGAAATAAGTGATAAAAGTCAACGCGTCATTTTTCCGTTCTAATGAGGAACACTGTCTCTGTTTCATTTATAAAACGTTAAAGAATAATTGCTATTATATAAATTGCTGAAACATCATGGTAAGAACTCAAATTTGTAGAATATTTTACTAGATTTATTTTAATCAGATGTCGAGGTGAATATGCGTAGATGTCTACGCATAAGAAGTGAGTTCTTTAAATTATGAGTAATTACCTCTTATCTTCCGCAGTGCAGAAAGTCATATTATTTGCAAGATGAGAAACAATGTAAAAAAGCCACAACATCCTTGAAACTTTATCTGTTACGCAGCATGAGAAATTAGCACTAAAAAACATGAAATTAAACTCGTTCGTGTCTCTTTTAGAGTGACGATACTGTTGAGAAAAAGGGATCAGGTCTATTGTTCAAAGTTCGTGATGGTAACTGTTTAGTGTGTGCATCAACAACCCAATTGTGCAATATATCGAAAAACTGCACACATCCTTCTCAATGTTGTTTACCGTGTATTAAACGCACAATAATCGGCGAAATAACATCAAAAGGTCGACATCGTTTTGTTTGTTGTGCACGTTCATGTAAAATTGAGTATGATCCTAATGAATATTTTCATTTACTTGAGCGTAAAGAAACGGAGTTAGTTGATAATCTTTTGTTAAATTCTCTATTGGAACAAAATGATGAATTTCGTTGGTGTAAAAATCCGAAAGGCTGTGGTGCCGGTCAGTTGGTATCAAATTACCAAGATCTGCTTGGATATTATGCGTGTTATAAATGTCATCAACATTTGTGTTTTCGTCATTCAATACTGTGGCATCAAGGTTATACGTGTGATGAATTCGACACTGAAATGGAGAACAATCCAGATTTAGCATCAGATCGTTATGTACTAGAATTTTCAAAACAATGTCCAAATCCAAAATGTAAAACACCCATATCAAAATTGGAAGGATGTGATGTGATGACCTGTTGTCGATATGGAACTCATGAATGCACAGATAATGAACGTCAATTTGGAAAATGTGATCATGGTGGAAAAAATTATTGTGGTCATAGATTTTGTTGGAAATGTTTGGGAACAATTAATATTGATAAAAAGGGCAAATATATTCGTCATTGCAATGCAAATTGTGAATATGTAACATTAAATAATTGATTCAGTATTTGTGTTGCCACAGTTAGGTTTGAAAAACAATGTTACTTTTTTATGTTAACTTTTATGAATAAAGTATTGAAATCAGTAGTAAGATATGAAAAGGGCATTATTAATTAAGTGGCATATGCGCATCAACTTATGAATTCTGTTCGTATCTTATAACGATTATGAACTGACGTTCATAAACAACGACGTTCACAACATTTGTGATACTATGGATGCCGCACGTTAGTAGAACAGCGAAGATAAACTCGACTTATAATAAGAGATATAAGTTCGATCCCAACTTATATCATATTTTAGTTTCTCCTTAGAAGAAACATAATGTGACTTTACCTGTTAATTGAGAAACCGGAAAGTCATGATAATGGAAAGTAGTTCATTTAAAACTGATCTACTCAATAAAAAATAAAAATGAAACCAAAAGGCAGTGATATTGCTGGCCCTATATCTCAAAGACTAGATCGTACCTATTTTTGGATAATAACTCTGCACGATGTCGAACGTTTTCTCTTTCAGTTACGATTAAAAGTAGAAATGGATATTCTATAATTAATTTCTATTCAACTCGTTAAGCTGAGCGACTTTACATTAAACTCATGATAAATGGTATTTTCTTTAGATAGAAGAGTAGATCAACATTTAGACTAAAAGATAAAAATTTATTCTTTTTCATTACGGTCGCTAAATCCTGGGACCTTTAAGTCATTCCAATTCGCTTAGAATGAGCTTTGATGGGTGTTGATTTATTACAAAATAGTTTTCATATAACTTGAGTTTTAAATTTTTTAGAAACACACAGTATGACGAGGCTGAGAGATAATCTACTAGCCTAAAAGTTATTAAATTCTACAGATCTGCGTTTGAACCATTTCTATCGCTACTACATACTTGTCGATGTAAGTGAGAATCTGTGGTCATTGTTTAAGTTTGCTGATGATATATCTTTACGTCATACTACTAGGTTACAAGATGACAAGCTGCTATAAATAATCTTCACACAAACTTAGCTATAGTTTTAGATTAGTGCAAAGCGTGAAAAATTAATTTCTTTACGCGTGGAATATTTTCCCCGTCCACATTCCATGCGTTCAACTATTTTTGACGGCTTCCCTTACGCGCAAATAAGTGTCATAAGCTCAATAAATTCTAATAGAAAGTCTTAATTTTATAACATGATTTTCCGATAAACTGCAATTGACTAATACATGGTTATTCTTCTATTTGGACTACATGATTAACTAAAGCGTTTGTAAAATAATTGAAAAACGGTCGTCTCGTAAAAATATCGCAAGGTCTGTCAATCATTCTCAGTCCATGGACAACACTATAAGATTTATACGTGTTCAAAAAAAGTTGTCCTTTTATCTTTAGTGCAAATATCCACTATTTATTATTTATTATTACCTACTATTTATACGACGACTATAAACCTATAGTACAAGAAAATCTTCCGTTATTTTAAGGAGATAGATTATTTCTACAATCTTTAATTGTTCAACATCAAATATGATACGTACTAATAATAATGTATGTCATTTCATTCATGTTATTAGCATTATTCACAAAATGATAGTAATAACAGCGTCATTCTAGTTAGTTGATTGCTTAATTTTATTATTCAAATGTCAACTCGTCTTTATGACCAGATTGTATAAAACAACAATGATCGTTGAGAAAATAAAGTCGATAGTGACTATTCTTGAATCTATGCATGCGCTCGTATAAAAAACTGATTTTGATAAATTCTACCCGAGATCTACAAAAAAATAAATGCACACACACACACACACACATTGTAAAAACCCTCTAAAAGGCTACTATAATCTATCTATAAGAATAAACGACACCTATTTTGAAAATAGGACATTTCCGCATGCAGTCGACGTATACGGTTCACAACGTAAGGAAAAGTATTGTCCAAAATATTTATGAATCTTTCGTGCTAAAATATTTTGAATATTTTCTTCATCACGTTCCCAATAGCATCCAATTTTAACACTGGTTAACTGTTTCAAAGACTTGCATGATAATAATTGTTCAATAATGTCTAAAGCGGATATGGGTCGATGTTTATGATGACAACGTTTATCAACAAATGATCTTAACGGTAATTCATCATCAGATAAACGAGAACAAAGTGTTAAATGTCTTATATTTGGAAATGCATCAATTACTTCTTGTAAATAGGGTTGTTGAAATAGACGAACATGTAACTCTTTTATTTGATATAAATATCCAGTACCTACTTCTTGAATTAATTGTAGTAGAATTGTGAGTGAAAGATGAAGTGTATGAAGGTTAGGTGTTAATTGAACAAGTGAAGTATGTCGTAAACAATTTTCTTCAAATATGAGTTTATCAACAGATTTTAATGTTGACGTTTTGAGTTTAAGTAAAGATGGATGAATATATCGATAACCACCGTAACAACGGACTGTTCTCAAATTAACAAATATTTCACTTAACGTAGAGAGTAATCCTGGTGTAATATCACACGCTAATTCTAAATGTTTCACATTTAACCAACCAGGACACTTGCTAAGATTCGTCTTTACTATATACAAAAACATTTTCTATTATTTTAACTAGAATAATGTTGATAAAAGAAAAGAATGGACTCGATTGCTTTTAGAATAAAGCAAGGATGAAAAAAGATAGTGAATTGTAGTTTTCACCATTCAAACGAGAAGGTGCATCGTTTTATAAGAGGTATTATTTCAAAACTAATTTTTTAAAGCAGGTTTTCTTGGAGATCTATGAAAATCATTACTCAAAAACTTTAAATACGACTCGTTTGCTTTTTTTCACTGATAGATAGCCTGAAGTATGCTCTTCAAAATAGGAATCAAGCGAGGTCTTGATTTTCAGCGATTTAGATGTGGTATTGGATTTTTAAAATTTATAACTACATCAGAACTGATTACATCGATTTGAGAACATCAGAAGATAATCCATTGGAACTGTTCTACGTATTTAAAATTAAGACGCTTTTGATTTTCTAGCTGAATTTCCAGAAAATGTTGAAAAATTAAAATACCTTTTTCTTGCTTTTCCTATCGCTAGCTTATGTGTCTAGTACAAAACACTGTAATTTCTGACGTTCTTAAGCCGTTGTAATCATTTCTGATGTAGTTATAAATTTTTTAATATTAGTCGAAAATAACATAAAATGAGTTGAAAAATAAAAAAATTAGTTTTGAAATAATATCTCTTACAAAAAGATACACCTCCTCTTTTGAATGGTGAAAACCAAAATTCTCTACATCCTTTCGTTCCTGATTTATTCTAAAAACAATCGAGTCGATTCTTTTCTTTTATCAATAGTAGATTAATGGTATGTACGTACTGGTATGATTTGTTTTGATATTCTTTATAAAATGTTCATTAACACATCCATCAATTCTGTCAAATGCATAGGGTAAGGTAAAGAGACATTGAATATCAGTTAGTTCATTATTCACATAGCCAAAATTTAATCTTTTTTCTTTTAGCCAATAATCTGTTTGATATGTTGACATATCTTTCATTAAATAGTCAGTAGTACCATAGGATTGAAAAAAAAAGTGAAATTCTTGTAACAAAGGTAAATGTTTTAACAAATTGGCTTTTAAATAGTCGCCATCTAGACATGTATGTAAACATCCAACAATGTACATTTGAAGATATTTTAATGTTGAAAATGATTTAATTAATGTTTCAATGAGACAATAATTGGTCACAAAATAAACAAGACCATGCCGTTGTGAGATGATATAGGAGAAATCAGTTAAAAATTGAAATGGAAATGTAAGAGTAATGGATGATGGTGATTCGTTTGTACTAAAATAGATTAAATCTCAAAAAATATAAGCGACAAACGATCTATGTTACCTTGAAACATCGTAATCAATAGTTGAATGTAGTTTCTGTATGTTTGGTAGACGATTCATTATCTCCAGTAAATCGGCATGACATTTCAAATGAATAGTTAACTGTTTCAATGTTGGACATATTGACAAACGTTTTGACAGATGATAAGCATAATTTTCGATTGAACATGTCGTCAATAGACATTTGCCATTGAACAATTTTTCGTCTGATAACAACGAAGGTGGATAATAATCACCGGTCAGTGATAATGTTAGATCTTTAATGTTTGATGGATATTGAAACTTTTGATGAGAAAATTGTTCACCGTCAATTTTTAATGATTTAATATTTGAGTAAAATAATGGGAATAGATCCAAGCAATAGTGTTCAAATGCCTTGATAGAAATATTTCTGAGGTCGAGGTAGGAAGGTGGTGAATTATAACGAACAAGATGATTCAAACGTTTATTGATGTTAAAAAATGAATAGAGAACGTCAATGGGTTTCAAATAATCAAATATGGAGAGATAAATCTCATTCGGTAACAGATCAAAGGAGGAGGTCATGACTAAATAGCTGTAAAAGGATAAAGTGGGATATCTAACTAAATCGTTCTGAAATCGTCCTTCTGCTCCTATTTGGATGATATTCTGCGTACATGATGTCAGTTGATCTTCACTACTATTGTCTCTAAATTTTATTCTAAAAGTACGTCATCTTCACCGGCTGCCACAACGCGGTGGTATTTTAAAATGTAATATTTCATTTCCTGCCATTTTTCTATCCTCATCCTGGCTGTTGCTATCCTCTAAGTCTCTTAGATTGTAATTATTTAGAATATTACTCTTTATAAGTCTTCTTTAACGATNCCTGCCATTTTTCTATCCTCATCCTGGCTGTTGCTATCCTCTAAGTCTCTTAGATTGTAATTATTTAGAATATTACTCTTTATAAGTCTTCTTTAACGATACGTCGCATTTTATTAGCAAATAACACCTATGATCATATTAAAGAAAAACAAATTTGTTTCTATATTAAAAGGTGTCGCTTGCATACATTGCTAAAACGTTAAAATTATGCTGGTGTCTGTCATGTTTTTCCAATTGTCCTTAACAAATAAAATAACGGGTATTCCATAAAGAATGGTCCTCTCTATTTTTCGCTTTTCTCTGTCAGTTTTGATAGTTGAGACTTGAACTTTTTTCCAAAAGATAGCCCATTCAATTATCTACAAGATCATATGAACAGAGTTCATGTAAAATACAATCTGAAATCCTGTGCATCCAACACTATATACGCCTGAAGAGAACCGTTACAAATATGGCTATAAACTTTATTTGAAAATGAAAAATTCTTAATATAAATCGAAATCGCGATCCAATGGATTACATTGTACCAATTTGTAAAAGAGTCTTACAGAAACGGATGAGTAGGAAAGATAATAACAGACGTACAAAATAATAAAAAAGAGAATTTAAAAGATATTGGAAAGCAGAGTAGTTGTGGCGATCAGTTGATCCTATGGGCAAGAGAGAGACGACTTCTAATGGATCTGTACAAATATTAGAGATGCATCAACCTCGGTATCAAAATACAGCAACTCAAGCGGGCACTTACAAAAGTTTAGTATCCGAGATAAAACCACATATACAGTCATAAACAAAGAGAAATATCTGTTTATTAGGAATACCTTTTAAGAGAAAAGTATTCAAGTCTAGTTTGATGCCCGCATTATGGAATTTTGAGAATAATATATTGCGTGGATGATTATAATGAGGGTATTTAAGAAAAAATGTTTTGTACTTTCAACTACTTCAATGGAGGGTGATAAAACTAAACAGTTTTCACAAAGACTTTGGAAGTTTATGCTGCTTTAGATGATGGTTTAGTGCAGAAAAATCGACTCTTAGTCGACAAAATAGAGCGTCAATTCTCCGATTTAACAGACAGGGTAATTTGAAAAGGGTTTGATTTAAAAAATGACTTCTATATATGAAAAATAGCAAAATTGATATTGGCGACCAATTTAACGATCAGTTTTCTATTACAATCAGGTTAACCCATTTGTCTCCAAATTTTTTCGAGTTGAAGAACGTTTAGCATGGCTTCCATGAAATACCCGGGGATAAGGATATCGAATTTTATGGACTCCCATCCAGTGGATGTCCAATGCACTTTTGAAAATGAAAAGTTTTGAAAAATAAGACTAGTGCTGAGTGAAAAAAAATTTTTAGGTGAAAAATATACTGTGCATCACTTGCGACACTTAAGGACTTGTAAAAAATGCTTGTAATACTTCAGCACAAAGTCAAAAGAGTTATGCGACGTCTTATTCTGAAGAGAAAAGCCTGGTCTGTAAATGTACATCTTATTGGAGAAAAATTTAGGTGATAATCATTGAGAGAAACACTAATACTCAAAGATCTCCTGTTGTAGGATCTCTAGAAAACTTACTCTAAAACTAAGAAAAAAATGCTGTAGAGTAAAAAGAGATACAAATTCTGATAGCAAACACTCTCTTCTCTTTAGCCAAGTACTCTTGTCAAATTCGATACTATTGATAAAAATTGTCATTTTTAAGAAAGAGGAAACGATTTTAATTTTTTGTGAAATATTCTAGTGCAATGATGGAATAGAGTGTTAGTTTTACAACTAACACCTTTTACGTGATAAAGTTGATATGAAAGCGTTATTGATTAAAATGATTAGAAAAATAGTTGACAACAAAATTCCTATTAATAATTTAATTAACGGTTACTATAACAGTTTGTTAAATAGACAATTTATCTTGGAGACATACATTTAGTTACTTAAATAGATTTTTTATGTGAACTCAGCTAAATGTATATATAAAAGGGGGCCCTATACCACTGAAGACTGAGGTGAAATATCTTGTAGTCACCTTCGACCGATTATTAAAATTTAAAAAACATCTGCAAGGTATTAAAAAGAAATCATCTTCTAGCATTGGACTTATCAAATACTTGGCAAGAAACACAGAAAAACAATCTGTCAAACCTCTTGACATGCTGCACAAGAGTTTGGTTCGTTCTATCTCAACCTATGAGGTGCCATCTTTCTAAACCATACAAACTACTGGGAGTTACTCAAATCATACAAAATAGGTCTCTACGTGCTGTTCTTCGCCTATCGTCTTACACCTCAAGCAACTTTGTTTGTTTTTCAAAAATAAATCTCTCTCTCTCTCTCTCTCTCTCTCTTTCATTAGTCGTATTTTATGACACCGAGACTAATTTATATCTATAAAAGTTTGACTAGAGTTCTCTTATATGCTAGTTATTTTAGGATTAAAATCAAACCATTCTTCTTACGCGTCTCTCTTTATTTATTTTTTTATCACAAAATATGCACACAATTTAATATACTATAACAAAACAAAAACAAACATAGATAATGTCTGGTATGAAAGAAAAATCAGAATAAATATTAATAATAAATAACGAAGTATTGTCTCTTTTAAAATAATAACAAACTGATCGGCACTTAAATTAAGAACCACTATCGTCATTAGCAAAACGCCATACATCAGGTGGCGGTTGGCTGTAGAAATAACATTCAGATCCTAGAAGAACAAAACATAATCAATAGAAATACACTAAAAGTAACTTCAGGCGAATAAAAATAGTGCTTGTACAAGAAATACAGTACGATGATTCGTATTTCCTATAGCCGATTTCAGGAATTAGATACGCCATTAAACCTGCTATTTTCAGTTACATAATTGTAATATGAATGAGAAATATAGGCTCATCTTCGCCTCTATTTATAAGTTTTCAAGCATTAGATTTTTATCTTACTATTCAATGTTTCAAATGATGGTAACGGTGTACAAGTGATCACCGGTGTTAAATCCGCATAGGTAACACCATTTGTTGGTTGTGTTAACGTTTCATAATCGACAATGGTTGGATTAAAAAATGTTTGAAAATCGGCTGTTGATACTGTAATAGCTGATGATAGTGAATTTTGAGAATTGTTCGATTGTTGTTGTTGCTGTTGTACAATAACACTTTCACCATCCACATTTGTTTCATCCGCATCTATATCTCAATGAATAGAATAATTATGTTATGGGCATGCGTTACATTATAGCAAGGACCTAGTAACATTCTGTATATTTCTCAGAGTTTTATCATTAAATGAATGTTACCTGTAATATTTGAATGGTTTGGACTAGCTGGTTGCAAAATCGATAATTGCTGAAATGTTATTTGCGAGCTTGGACTCAATGGTGGTACAATTCCAACTCCAAGACGGTCAGCTAAACATTGATGAGAATGAACGCCTTGATTCGTTGGTACATTATTCATGTACGGTGACTCTGGAGGCTGATGATAATAAGAGTGAATAGGTGCACCATTTTGCCAATTCAAACGAGCACTGTCAAAATAATGCTAGAACATATAAGGAACACGAAGTGAAGATTATTGTATGGAGTGAAGATGTGAAGAATACCTTAATAATTTGTTCGTCTAATTGTGTACGCTGCTGTATTTCATCCATTTGTGTATACTCAGCAAATGGATTTTCATGGAAAAAATGTTCAAGGATTTCGACTTTATCCTGCGTTATAGCAATTAGAATATTATCATCTAGAATAAACGATTTAATAACAGAAATATGTTGACCAATGATAAGATGTATAAACTTACTTGCATCCTTCTGATATGTATTTTCAATTGTTGTCCACGTCGTTCCACCAATATCAATTGTCACTTGTGTCGGTTGTCGTTGAATTTGTTGAGAACGTTGATTAAGTGCCACCATTTGTGCTACCGTTGTTTGTTGTTGCTGAAGATCTTCTTGATGAAAACTACTTGTTGAACTGTTTGATGATGTATTCGAAAGATAATTTCCTTGATTACTATTGCTATTAGTATTATGTTCTTGATGTGATGTTTGTTGACTACCATTTTTTTGTTTATCTGCTTTTGTTCTCACAATCCTGTAAATGCATCTAATATTAAAATGGTCATTGAGTAAAAAGAGTTAGTCTTCTTCTTTTGAGTTATATTTCTATACCTGTTTATTGAACTAACACTTGGAACTGTTTTTGTATCACATATTCTTTCTGTTACAAGTTTTTCTTTAATTTCCCATGCAAACATGGTTGGTTGATTTTTTTTATATTGAGTAATAGCATCGATTACTTTTGGTGTTGCTACTTTAGGTTTTGAACCACCAATGACACCAGGACGAATTGAACCAGTTTGTTGAAATCTAATAGAACATAAAAAACTTGTTAAAAAATATCATAATATAATAGTTCAAAAAATTGTTTTTTGCTGCAATCGATTATTATTCAGTATTTGATCATTTTTATCTCAGAATTACTAATTATTCTACACAAAAATTTATTGCTAAACTGAATAATATTCTCACTGGACGTATTCCTCTCACCCTCTCGAGAGTTTCATATCATCGACAGAAAACGAACGTTCATGCAGAGTCGTGAAAAACTGCTTTTTCATATTCAGCACACTCGATAATGCTGAAGACTTTCTATTTTTGGTGACAGGGGTACTGACAAAATTTTAAGTAAACTTTTCAAACAAAAAGTGGCGGAAAATAATTTCTATGCGAAAATAGACGACTTGCAATTGTTAATTTTGCTTCTATATCTCAGGTTTCCAAAGACATGGAGAAAAAATATCTGATAGTTTGGTCAATTTTGTCAGTACCCGTCTACAAAAATAGAAAATCTTCGGCATTATCGAGCGTGCTGAATACGAAAAAGCTCTTTTGCTCGACTCTGTATGAACGTTCTTTTTCTGTCGATGATACGATTTCGAAAAAGACGTTTCCAATCTTATCAGTAAATGTAGGTGCATGATTATACAACAGCAAAAACAAAAAATTATAAATAATAAAAACGGTTTGTATCAAAACCTGCCAAGTATCTTGCTAACACAACCATGTGAGACCTAGAAGAATATAAAACATAACATAGAGATGATATTTTATCGTATTATGATGACTAACCTTTAATTGTCTCGATATATCACATGGTCTTATTCCTTGTTGGGCTAAATTGACAATTTGTTGTCGAACAACATCGGGCAGTGGTCTCCCATTAACAAACAATCCTCCCAGCTGATTTATACCACCATGACCTTTAAAATAAAAATAAAGATATCATCATCATTAAGCATAATTAATAATTTTGTATATTGCGAACACGTTTCGGTCTACTAACTATCCGAATCTATTTGCATTGTTGAATTGACCATTTCATTTGTTTCTCCGTACTGTACAGTACTGATAATCGAATCCTTTTCCTTCATTCTATGTCTTGTATACTAATAGTTAGAGACAAGAGATGTTGATCTATGCCTTCGCGCGTTCGGTTTTATTTTTTGTTGTTTTATTTTTTTTTTTTGATTGACAATTACAATAAAGTCGTTCGTTGGTGAAAAAAGAAAGAAAGTGCCTTCAAGCAATGATCACTGATCTTCGATTTGGAAGAATAGTATGTGCAAAGGTGTGTGATGAGTAAAAGAAAAAAAGATAGACATAGGTTTTCTTTTGCCTTCATTTTTCTTTTGATTCTACTTTTCGTTTTCTTTTCAAAACAACAATAATGTAAATTAAAAGGAAAATAAATGCCAGTGACATCAATCGCAGTGAAGTTGTACATAATATAATGAGATAGCAATCTTGATTTAACTTCTATAGATAATTTTATTCAATAATAGTGGTGGTCAAACATATATATTGAAAAATAAAGAGAAAAATAAGACGATCGTTTATAGATACTAATTGAAATTTATCACATTTTATGAAAATATACACATCACATCTAAGAGAAAGAAAAAGAAGTTAGTTCTATTTTGTCACTAAAATATATTGAAATTTAGTCAAGTAAAATAATATCAATGTTTTTAATATCTAATTTTGATAACAATCTGAGACGAAAGAGACTTTATAACAAATGAATTTGTAACACTTGAACTATATCATCTATCTAAGTTTGTCCTATGATCGTAGACTTTCTGTCATACGCTCAAGATGTAACAAAAATATGAATATAGATTTACATGAATTCCACATATTTATAGTATATTATACTATATTCAATAAAAATATTTGGTACATCTTTTAAATCTTTAAAACAGATATTGTAGAAAATTGGTTTCTTACCAAAATTGTTAATCTATGTTTAATACTAATAAATTTTTTTCTATTCTAAAACAATTTAATTGATGTCTACCACTGCCGCCTTATCACTACTCCCATATTACTTTGCTATAGTGGTTTTTGTACATATTTTAGAGAATAATGCATGCTTGATTAGCTATGCATGGAAGATGACCCTTACAGTTATAGTTGTGTGAGTTTTTTCAAATACATCATGTATCTGTATGTTCTGTCACGCACCCCTGCTCTCGATAATTTTTTCAAAATAAAAAAAAAAAAATAATATCATCATTCTCATTTACAAATTATTTTTCAAACGTAAGTTTATAAAAGTTTTCTCTAAAATAGTCTAACAACAATTATTTTGATTTTTGATTCCACTTACTTTCATCACTGTTTTCTTTCGATGAATGTCTTGACGAACGAGCTAAAACGATAGAATAATAATAGCGATATTAAATATAGTTAAGAGAAGAGTGGTCATATTTACGGATAATCAATAAAGATATTGAGAATAAGATTATATATGAAAAAAAAGTCAGAATTACACCATGAATGTTGGATAAAAACGTGTTAGTAAGATGCCCGTAATTCAAACTTCAAGAAAACTATTTTTTTTGACTTAATCATACATGTTCTGATTCATCTCGTCGAGCTAATCACGAATATCACGTTTTTACTTCTATTGAACTATATCTTCAGGGACAAAAAGTTCGACTGAATTACGGGCATCTTAACAAAAAATGTCGAAAAGACAATAGATTTGTTCAAATACCAGAAAAACATATAAAATTTTTATATGTAGTTTGAATCTATTTTGGAATATTTTTAACACAAATAGGAAAGAAATTTTAAGTACATTTTTAGTATAATATTGAATGAAATAACTATTTTTCTTGTTCTCTTATTCAATTGAGATGCAAAAATGTATCCGTTATTCGTCCAATCAGGGAAAAAGCATTGCCCAATGCAACTCAATCGTTACCTCACTGATCAATGTATCTAGATGTTGATAAACATTTCCCTCAATGTAATTAGAGAACATTGTTCAATAAACTGACATTTCCGTTGAGTTAAAATTGGTGCATCAAATTATACTGGACTATCTAGCCAGTAATTGGAGCTAGTTAACTCAATGTTTTATCTGAAGCATCTAGATAAATGAATAAAAAATATCGTTCGATACGCCAACCAAAGCATTTGACTATTTTAATTGGAGTACTTTTTTTTTACTTGAGTCATATCAAAAAGTTTGGGAATAGTTTGGTTTTTTTTTCCTATTAGAAATGACGGTAGCGTTTTTCTGCTGCGATCCGGTTGATTGCTCATAATCATTTTAATTATCACATATCTATTATACATATAATATAATACAACATATATTGTAGTTTAGTATCTGTATTTAAAAAAGAAAAATGACTTTTATCTCGTGAGATCCAAATGAAAGTTTAAATGTATGAATTTATAAAGTTTAGTTTTTAGAGAACTTTACACACGTGAATATTTATAACTTTGTATCTCTCTATTTTGATGATAATAAAGTAGTCTGTATCACATGATTGATCAAACGGAAACGTACTGATGCGTATACAAAACACACGTACATTGTGTCTTATGTCTTGGTTTTAGTCTATTTAGTTTTTCTCTTGTTTTAACATCTTGATTTAAATGTGAGAACATAAGAAATAGGAAAAGAAAACAATTGTACCAGATCTGCATGCATGACTGATTGGATGTTATCACAACTTATATACTATTTCTCTTCTTCTTTTTTTTTTTATCGAATAGAAAACAATATTACCTGACTTACGTTTTTTGGTACCATTATTATTATCATTCGTTAAATTTTCACTGTTAATATTAGTTTCGTTCGTATTTGCATAGTTTTCTTCAAAATTAAATGGTGATGTTGAATCACCAAATTCATATGAATCGGCGTGATTATGATGATGATGATGGTGATGATGATTTCTATCTGTCAAATTTGTATAAGTACCATTATTTGGATCCATCAATGATACGAATTATCTAAAACGAGAAAATATCAAAACATGAGGTAAATGTAGTGTAATATTGTTGAATTTTAATACTGACATTCATTCTGTATTAGTAAAATTCAGAGAAAAGACGTTCATAACCAAGTAGTTATTCAACGTATATTTTTCTGATTTGTAACAAATTAGAAAGAAATTCCACCACAGAAATGGTTTTAACACTCGATATATTCTGTCCAGAGTATCTTGACTAAAAAGTCTAAAGAGAATAAAGATCGCCATTCGCTTTGATGCTTTAATGAATACTCTACATAATTTAGTGCGAAAGTCACCTTTATCAATGATAGTACTACAGTCCATTATCATTGATAGATCTGGTCAGGAAAATTTTTCTCTTTACGTTCTACTGACGAGGAGACCACTCTAATTGTCACATTTGTTTTCAGCCAAACCTAGTGAGTTACACATTATCAACTATGCTGAATCTGAATATCATAGTGGTAGCTGCCCAGGCGCCTTCAGAGATTTGATTTTCTAGAAAACCAGTTTTTCAGAAACTCTAAAAAGTAACTAAACCCTTCTTAACGAGGCATAGTTGTAGTTCGCAAATTTCTAATTAAAATGAGGCATCTCACAGCTCTACACGACCTTTCTTTGCAAAGTTATAAAATTTACAAGAAAAACCCTCAGTAATGTCTTCTCATTTCTGTAGATCAGCTTGGCCAAATGTAACGGAATTTTATTTTTTCGTCTTCTGTGCCCCTTATCTAGGTAAAGAAACAACTTTTATCAATGAAATTTATACCAATATTAGGGAGTTCTACTACCAGAAATAATTTGAGCTTGATTGAACAAGCGGATCAAAGTTATAGTCAAAATAGAGGCCGTCACAGAATTTCAAAAAATGGAAGTGTTTTTCGGCGTATTTCAGTAAAATGTAAATTATTCAGCCTTAAATTAATTTTAAAATGATTACTTAATTATCAAATTAAAGCTCACAGTTTGGGCTATTAGAATGACTAGTGAGTTTTTCTTGAATTAGTTCCCTGGCAGAGAAAATCGAATAAAAGTGACCGTTACGGAATTTCACCGTTTTTTACTCTTTTTTGCTTTTTTTGGTTTGGTATATATTTTTTCTGTCACAGAACTACTTAGCAAGCTCCGATTTGCACACAGACAGATAGTCTGAGTTGCCCTTCATCCCATGCAGCCAAAAATGAATTTTCAAAGTTAGATTAAATGGGCATAAAATTGCTCACAAAATAAGCGCTAAAAGCATTTAAAAAAAAAAATTTTGGCATCTAAACGTCAGAACAAATGAGCCCTTTGGTATAGTTCCGACGGTATAGTTTTCAGAATTTTTGGAAAAAATATCTAGATCAGGAAATTAAATTTTATATTTTCACCACGAAGATTTGACTTTCATTTGTTTTTGAGTCTAGATTTGTAATCACCGTGAAAACTTGCGTCTAATGATGTATTTTTAAGCTTAAGGCCACGCCGAGCTTTGAGCTGACAATGAACATTTAGGGCTTTTCTTATAAATTCTATAACTTTGCAAAGAAAAGTCTTGAAGAGCTGTGAGATCTTTCATTTTAATCCTGTCTCATTTAATATCTCATTTAAACCTTTCTTAATAAGACATGATTGTAGTCCGCAAGTTTCAATCATTGAGTCCAGTTTCTATTATTGATAATCAGAGCTGGTTGAGTCCGAAAGGGTGTTGAGTTTGAAGCTCCAACCGACAAAAGCGAGTCTCGCTCGGAGTCTGTGTAAGAGAGTTGTGAATGCGAATGCAGAGTTGGAGTCCAAAAGTTCTTCAAGTTTGTCTTTTTAAATGTTCTTATTTATTTTTCGTTTTTTTCTCTATACTGTATAACACATCATCATTTGTTATAACAGAAAATGTTACTAAAGTAGACTTTGCTATTATATTTTAACAATGTCAACTGCGATAATTTTTTTTTTAAACTACACACACAAAAACGTGTTTCACTAAACCGTTTAGGTATTTAGGAGACTGTCACCTTGCGAAACCTTTTGGAATTTAGTAAACAGGAGTTTATCACATTAATAAATCTGTTTTGACGAAACTCTTTTTCATGATAAGGATTTTATTTTAATCAAATCGTCATCAACGATTTATTAGACGGTTTATTAGGTCTAATAAACTCAAAAAAAGGTTTCCCATGGTGACACTTTCCTAAACTCCTGTAAAGTTTTTTTACTAGATTCAAAAGACTTTTCAATTTCATTGTAAGACCTCGTTTAAACCATATTGGTTTATTAAAATGTCCTAAGGGTTTAGTAATCAACCCGATCAATTGCATAAGCAGAATGCTAAACTTTTAGGGTTAGTAAACATTGCAGTAAACTGCTTTTGTTTTTAAAATGCCCTTTTTACTTTAAAAAAGTCTCTGTTTACTAAACTCTAAGGTTTAATAGCTCTTGTAAACCTAATGGGTTTAGAAAACGGGTTAATGAACATAATGTATGGATTTATTATAAAGAGTCATGACACATTAAAATTTCTAAAAACACCTATTTTTTAGAGTGTAACTCTATTACGTCTAATAAAAAATCCAGCTTGAGAAAAAATACGCTCAAGAAGTGTCCATGTACCTGGAATGCATAAAATTTTCCAACTAATTGAATTAGGGCTGAACAGATATATGATTTTTTGAATATAAGATTACTCCGTATGCCTATATTCCGCATAAGACTTTCGGTTTTATCTGAAATAGTAGTTGCTGTTATTTCAATTCTTAGCTTATGGTGCATTTAAAACATGCTGCTATAGCAATTGCATCTTTTAAAAAGAATAATAATAATGAATAATGGTGAAGATATAGGCTGTTATTGAACTGCATCACAGATGTAAACTGGCTCACATATGAACTTAGAACAACAAAAGAAAAGAAAGATAAAGATGAATTTTGTTTATTTACGATGTAACGAGAATCAATATGACTCATACCAGATCTCTAGTCCAAGTATCGGGTCTTCAGCACAAATCTTCAGACTGAACTCGTTCATTCCTGCTCATTAGTTCTGGAAACCAATATCTGACGGAGAGGTGATATAACTGGATCATTGAACCACAGTAAAAGTATTGAAAAAGGTTTTTCCTCCTGGATGGTTATATAATGGCAAGGGCTCCCGTTTGCCTCTTTAGAAGTGGTATCTACGAAGACGGGGATACATGAAAAGCTTTTACTTACCCAGCTGAACATTTTTCATGGTGAATCTAATTTTTACAGCAAAATAGCGCTTTCTTAAATATTTTGATTTTATGTAGGTCTACTAAACATACGAGATGACGGGTAGCAATCCAAGAGCGAAACAACATTTTGGAAAATGGGAGTAAGAAAGCGTTCGTTTGTGATCTACTAGCATGAAGAGTGTTGATATAATACCGCTCAAGACTTTTTGTTGCCATATTCAACGAATATCCAACAGAGGTTTTACAGTTCGACCTATCAGAATGTACAATGAACAACAGTCGGACAGTCTGATGTTTCGAGATAATTACATTTAAATGTCGGCACTCTTCATTGTACTAGGTTACAAACGTAAATTTGATATTGGAACCATCAGTCGCGAGGTAAGACTATTCACCTAATCACCCTGAGCAGAACTAATTACTTAAAAACTTCTTTAGTGTCTCCCATCGTCCTAGATATCGCTTGTCAAAGCACAAATAGCAATTCTTGTACTCACATAACCATTCAGAAGAAGAGAGGTCCGAAAATTTTATTGCAGATGAAAAAATTTTATAAACAACGTTTATCCAGTTTCACTAGAAAAGTATGTGGTTCTACGTTTCAATTGTTTGATTTTGTGCACAAGTACGCATACCTTCTCATGAGAACGGTAAACTAATTCATTTATCTGCTAAGCGTTTAGCGAAATAGCTTGTATATGCGCCAGAAAACTCTAATATCCTTCGTAACAATCCCAGTAATGAACCTATAAATGGTGCTTATACTACAAAAAATAATTTTCATGAACCGCAAATTGAGCAATAATATTTCATCCCTGTCAAGCCTAAATAGAGCAATTACATAAACTGAATATAGTCTACTTTTATGCTACGGGAGATCACGCTTCAGAAAACGTTTTTCCACATCTTGCACCCTCAAGGGACAAAATGGGACTTTTGTTTTCTCATCTCTAGTAGTAACTGTTCTATACTCTGAAAATAGGTTCAAGAGTTTGTCACTATAGAAAATGACTTTTCGGTTTTGGAAAAAAGTATTTTGTGGCTCTCATAAACTCTGCTTCGTTTATAAGATCCTGTATGGCAGAAAAAGCAAAGTTTTTGAAAATTACAAAGTCCTTTCTCTATACAAATTTCTTTCCTATATGTAGGAATTTTTCAAAATGGTCCAGTGTACTGGTAGATTTTATTTAAAATGTGAACGTGACCTGTACCGCCTATTCTCTTTAGAACAAAAGCGATTTTTTTGAAGAAAAAAAAGCAGCTTATTGAAGATATAATTTCGACTTCTTAACCAACAAAAATTTTCATCTTGTTGGGCTCATTTCTTGTTGAAATCTACAATCGACATAAGAAAATGCACTGTTTATATTTATTGTTGTATTATTGGTACTCGCAGAAAAATGTTTAGAACTTTCTGTTAAAAAACTCCCACAGGCTTGTGCTATGTTTTTTTTTTCATTCGAAGACGTTATTCACCAGTTTACATATTTGAAATAAAAGTTGATGCAATATGAAACGAAACAGGCAACAGTCTCTATTGTTTAACGATATAGCCTTCTAGAAAATCCTTTCAAAAAAATCTAAATAGATCACTCGAAATGGTGTGTGGAAAGTGATACAGATATTGAAAGTAGATAGTTCAAGCTAAACGTTGACAGGCATATCCGAATACTACATTTTTGAAGACAATTGTGATTCTCATAAGGATGCTTCCTTAGCGATTCTTAAGCTAAAGTTTATAGTCATGAGTATGAACAGTATAAAATACTAAAACATTGTTAAGCTGTTTTTATTT